GGGGAACGCAGACCGCTTCTCAGTTACATTAGCTGGTTCGGCTCTCTCCTCCAGAGGGAGCTACTGTACTGTGGAGGCTACACAAGGTGGGAGCAGACCCCTCCTGGCTCATGGCCAAAAGCCGGAGCCTGAACAAGCCCATTAAGGTGTTGTGATAAGTGTCCAGTCCAGTTTCCCCTGACAGAGCRCAGGAGTCGATCCCCACCACAGTTTAGCCAAGACGTTTCCACCAACTCCAATCAACGGGAGACCGTGAGCAGGGTGGGCTGCAGCAGTCAGAGCCATCATGTCCCACGTGCCACATGTCCCCCCCCCCCCCCCACCCTGAAGCCTAAATTTAGAACAGGCAGGGAGAGATGAAGGGACAAACACAAACAGTGGAAGCAAAGATTTTTTAGGAGCCCGGTAGGAAATAGTAGACTGACTCCACTTCACCCGAATCAACAGCAGCTGATGGCTTGGATTTTCCTTGCATGAAATCAGATATGGAGCCGACTGCCGTTCCTGGTAGACTCTGGAAAAAGAAACAAGACCCCCCCGTCACCAACAAACTCCCTCCCTCCTCTTGAAAAAAAAGGGAGGAAATCCAACTGCAGAAATGTGCTGTGAAGAAAGAAAGAAAAAAGCGGAGCAGGGGCCATGGAAATTGCAAAGGAGTAGTCTTTTTTTTYWATTTCTATTTTTTTGTCACCAGTTCTTCCAGACATAGGGAAAAGAGATTTCAACTACATTGTGGCACGCAAGTTTTGGCATTCTCCCACCCCCCCTCAGGGCTGTGGCGTGCAAGTGCTTGCAATTTCACAAAAAAAAACAAGCGCTCTTTTCTCTGCCATCTAAATTCCTATTTTACACTTGCAGTCATGTGGGTACATTGGACCCGAGAAAGCCACATGTGGACAAACAAATGAGCCCAGGCCGAGGTGTGTGAGGGTATGAATGAGTGCGGAAGCGGCAGGTGAATACTATACTAATATCGTCAGGCATGAGGAACTTTTTAGAGGGCGTACTTAGCCTGGCATCCAGCCATCTAACTTTCTTTTAAAGCATTTTATAGGTCAGGAGCACAAACATTTAACAGGCTTGACTAGTCAAGCTCAAACTTAACAGATTGGTTATTTTCATTTGCTAAATCATGACTTTTTTTAGCTTTATTTCATGCTTTAATGTCATTCGTCAAAAGCACACCCAGAGTGTTGCTTTGACTTATTCATGCATGTTTGAGAAATCCTTGAATCTCGTGGTAGCCATGTGGAGCTGCCTACCCAGGTGAAAAAATATTATATTAAGTACTAAATCTAAGTTTACTTTAGTATACTTGAAGCCACACTAATCATTAGTATACTTAAAGAGTGCTATTTTGGAACAACTAATTTAATTCTAAATATACTTTAGTTGTATTTAAGTTGTACAAAAGCACCATTTTAAGCAAATTAAGTATACTTTTAAGTACTAAAATGGAACAACTTCAAAAATACTTAGTACACTTTAAGTGTATAGACAAASATATACACTTAAAGTGTACTAAGTATATTTGAAGTTGTCCCATTTTAGTACTTAAAAGTATACTTAATTCACTTAAAATTGCGCTTTTGTACAACTTAAATACAACTAAAGTACATTTAGTATTAAATTAGTTGTTCCAAATTAACACTCTTTAAGAATACTAATGAGTAGTGCGGCTTCAAGTATACTAAAGTAAACTTAGATTTAGTATACTTAATATAATATTTTTTCACAAGGGTAAACTCTTGCTGGGACAAAGCACCGCCCATTTATACAAAGCTCCTCCTTGGAGCTCAGTCCCCAGCTGTGCTCCCACCCCACAAAGCACCCTTCCCCTGAAGTGGGAGTGACAGAAACAGTAGCAGGTTCATGAAGAGACAGAGGCTAATTTCAAGCTGTTCAAATGGGCTATAATTCAGAGTCAAATTTATTTTTGATATACACAATAATAACAACTGAAAGTAACATAGTTGCTTTATTGTGGTATAGAATTGAACTATGTGCCTGAAAAGTACGTAATACCCCACTTCAAGAAGCTATAAAGCTCAAAATTCTACCTTTACAGACACACAAGTTCATCTCAGAAGATTAGTTATTCCAAATGAGAAAGGAACATCTGGTGTTTGACTTAAGAAGTTTGGTGACAAATTATAAAGTTCCAGTTAAACTTAACATAAACTTCAACTCAAATCCTGGATTCACTGATTCAGAAGCGCGTAGCCTTCCGCCTCCTTTGTCCATCCCTGTCCCTCTGAGGGTCTCTAATTGTGGCCGTCCGCTTGTGTCACCTAACTATGATATACGACATGATGCACAGCAGTGCAACRAGTCGTCCCTGTTTATACGAGGCGCCCGTCAGAGCTGACAATGCCTCTTTTCATTGCTAAGAGGAAAACAGAAAAGSTGCACGTTGAGCTCCTTTTGAAGGACTGGCAGGAGGGCCGGGCAGCGGGGCCTTTTCATAACTTCAGTCTTGTGCATGGGGCTGTGGGATGATGTGCTGTCAGTGCTTGATGACTGTAACTGAGCCAAAAAAATGTCTCAGTTCATTACTGTGGAGCAAGTGTTTCTGTAGAGCGGCATATCACGGGAAATCTGAGAACGGAATTGGGGGGGCGTTTGGGAAGGTTTGCCGCTTGAGAAAATTTGAGTAAATGTTTCAGAATAATAGATTTCTCTCTTTTTTTTTAAATGGGAGCTCAGTTTTTCATAGCTGGAACAGCAGTTTTCAATATTTCTAACCATTTTTTGTGTGTGTGTCTCCAGCAGGGACTACAGATCTATTTCAACAGAGACCCACCTTCCCGTCTCTGTCGCCGCTGACTGACCCTCGCTTCTCAGACCCCCGCATGCACTACCCGGGGGCCTTCCCTTACTCTCCCAACACCTCCGGCACGGGCATCAGCGGCCTTAGCATGTCAGCCTCTTCTAGATACCACACCTACCTGCCCCCACCCTACTCAAACAACCAGACCCAAAACTTCCAGTCCAACTCCTACCTGTATTACGGCACAGGCTCCGGATCCTACCAGTTCTCCATGGTGGCGCCGGGGAACGCCGGAGGCGAGCGCTCTCCAACTCGCTTACTGTCCTGCTCGGGAGCCACGGGCGCTGGAACCAACAGCCTGATGAACCCTGGCCTGAGCGCCCAGAGCGAGGGCGTGGAGGCCGACGGCAGCCACAGCAACTCCCCCACGGCCATGAGCGCCTCGGGGCGCTTGGATGAGTCCGTCTGGAGGCCATATTGACTAACACAGCCAGACAATTAAAGGAGTGGAAGAGGATAGGACGGAAACGTGAAGAGAATGATGAACAAAGAAACTGAACACTGAAAAAGTTGAAAAAGAAAAAAAAAAAGAAGAAGTTGCATGTCTGTCTGTCCCTCCCCCCTCCCCCCAACAATCATTTTAAAGACTGTTGCTTTCAGGAACTCTCTCAAGAGCTTTCTGTATTTTGTCGTATTCAAATGAACTCCTGCACAGCGCCGGGACCTGTTCTCTGGAAGCCATAAAAAGAGTGAAGGCAACATTCAGCAGGAGACTGTAAATAAGGGGTTAAAGGCCATCGCAGCGTTTCTGGTGTTGACAGACACTCGTCAAAAGACTAACGAACAACAGAGGGGAGGTCCAAACAATCAGTCCAGCTGATGAACTGAGAAACCACAGCAGACATTAAACAAACAGACTGTTTAGACTGATCCAGCTGAACTTGGCAGGTGGAGAAGTCAAACTGGTTGTTTTCTCCATGAGTGATTCCTCGCAAAGGCATGGCTGCRCTGCTGTAGCAACTCGGTCCCTTTAAGCTTTCACTTTTGTCAAATTTGAATACTGCATCCAGGGCTGTTTCGTGTGCTCAGAGTACTACAGGACCTAACTGTCTATTTATTATCCAAACAGAGACATTAGTATTTGCTTCTTTGGTGGATGTTTCAGTAACGTTGCTGCATTACAGAAAGAAAAGCATTTTCATGTGTTTACCAAATTAAATCTTTCACACTATCAGTGGGACAATAAGATTTTAGGAATGTTTCAAACATGAACAGAGGAGGGTTTGTTGTTTTMTTTTCTGCAGAAATCTTTCTTCTCTCAACTTCATTTTTATTCCTTTTTTACTCTAGCTCTTTTCTTAAAGAAACAAAGTCCTGATCTGATTTTTTTAACTGGATAAGATGGTTTACTTTTGATATTTATTTGAGCCAAATTTTGGGGGGAAGTGTATACACACACCCCAAATCCTTAAGCATTTAAGTTTACTTTTCTTTTTTTTTACATAAATATATAAACAGTATATACACCATGTTTTGTTGTTAAGTATGAATTTGGAATTTGTGTAATATATTGCTACTAAATTATAAAAAAAACAAAACCTTTTTAATGTAATTATTTTTGCCTTCTAATGTAGCTTTAATGCACTAAAATCTTTATTCCAAATCCCCAAAAGATTCTGTTGGTAAGATAATATGCAGAGCCAAAATYTTTAAAGCAATTTCCAAATTGCCTTCTTTCTCCAAAAAACAAAAACAACAAAAAGAAGCAAAATTTTTTTTTGAAAAAAACCCATTAGCTACACTTTTTGCACTATTTTTTGACTTTCATTTCTCTTTACTGCTCAGCTGTTGGGGTTTGAATGCACGCAGAACAAAATATGAAATATTTCTGCACATACCTTTAAAATCTAACAGATCTTTTTTTTTCTTGCTGAAGCATTTTATGAATACACATATTCCTGCACCACAGGTGTGTCTGCACATTCCCACTGTCCTCGGGGCCTTTCCCCTGCAGCTGTGAGGATGAAATGACAGAAAGAAGAGGCGGGGGTCCAGCGTGGTATCTTTATACCAACACTGAGGGCAGCTGTGCAAAAAAATAGAAGAAAAAAAAACCGTCTCGTTCTGCTCAGATCTCTTTGTTCTGAGTAATCACAGAGCGCTTTGAAGCGTTTGTGGCCACGATTCTATCTCCCGCTCGGTCTAATTTACTGATCACGCTCTGCGTTGTGCTGCGGTTTTTTACAACAGATATCAGCTGTCCTGAAAAGTCTCTCTGAAGAGGGAAGATTGCATTAATGTCCCTGAAAGACGGATGCTTTAGCTACACAGTTTAGGTTTTATTTTAAAGTGAAGAGTGATCCAAAGAAGCGAGCGTTTGCAGCTCAGATGAAAGATTGTTTTTGCAGACTCACTGCCTTATTCCTGTCTGTAAAGAAAAGCCATCGGCGTCTCATTCCTGCTCTTTCTTTTAGAGGAAAAGCATGTTTAACTTTCTTGCTCCGTCCTCCAAAGCCCGTGAAGYGACTGATAACCTGACTTTTATTCTGGGTAAGAATCATGCAGCTAGAGAAACCACATAATATTTGTGTGGTTTCTTCTAAAATAAACCAAAGATATACCCGACTGCCTGTTTAAATGTTAGTAATGAGATGTGTGGCAAACTAGTCATGTCTTGAATGTTCGTCGTTGCCTTTTTTTTTATGCAAAACTAGGAAGCCAAAGTGTACAAGTAAATTGTACTTTGTGTRTTTCATTAAAAAGCACAATGTTGCAATTATTTTGTTTCTTTACAAAAGAAGCTCTTTTTCATTTTTTGTATTCCAAAATGATTTTCTCTCTCTCTCTTTCTCTCTCGATGCTCAAAGCATGTACATCTGAAACTGATATGTTAATTTAAAAATCTCATCTATCTATGTGATGATATCTGCTTCCATAAGAGTGCTTGTAAAGTTGGCAGACAATGTAGTTTTTAATCATTTTAATTAAAAAATGTGTCTCACTTCTGACTCACGTCTGATTTCATTTCTTACATGAACCTATTCAGATTTGTTCTTCTTTTCTCAGTACACACTATTAAACATTTACATTCAACTGCAAACAGAAAAAAAAGTTCATTACAATAATCAGAATTTATTTCATACAGTTTAAAGAAAATGGCTCCACTGCTTGTTGCATGGCTTTTCTGAAAAATTTATAAACAAACACATTCTAATCAGGCCTTAGTTCATAAAAAATAATTAAATCTTGTGTCTGACATTTAACATTTTTTTCTCATCATCTTGGCAGAAGGAAAAATAATAAACACTAGAAATACTAAACTATATTTAGTGAATATAAAAAGGTTTTTAACAACATTTAAGAGAAGCTAGACACACACCAATATGGCTCTGCAACATGAACAAGTTAACCGTTTCTATATTTGATCAAATCCAAACTGCTGTGACATTTAGTTACATTTTTGTTACTGTAAGACGGCACGCATWCATTCGAGCAGGACTCGAGGATAAAACAAGGCCAAAGGAGAAACAGAAATAAAAAATGAAGGTAAAGATGATATTATCACATTTGTTTACATCAAAACCGCAGAAATTCTGAAACATTAGCAGCACATTTATATGAATTGTGTTCAAAGGTATGTCTTAATGTTTTACTGTAGCCAAAGAGCAAAAGAATTTAAATTAGAGACTAAAATGTTCCAAAATTGTCTTAATTATATGTTAAAAAGTAGCTTGTGCACACATGTAACACATTAACATTTAACTTACTTTTAAGTAACTTTAAATACATAACATTTAAAAATTTACATTTGTGCATTTTAGTGACATTGTTGTTTGATTTTTAGGAAGACACTTTAATGGGGATAAATGATTTTTTTTTTACTTTTGGAATCTGTTCTTTTTAAAGTGGACAATGAGCTTAGTTATAATGTAAAATACATCCAGTCTACAAATGTCTGAATCCTAACATTTATTTATATTTTATGTAATATCATCAAACAGGACAAATTTATGCAGTTAGACAGTTGTTGTTGGGGTTTTTCCTCCATCTACCCTTAAAATAAAATGATCAGCTGAAAAGCTTGTGCTTTTTTATTTTTTTTCTTTTGAAGAAATTTAAAAGCCAAATAAAACTTTGTGTAATATTTACAACCATTATCCCAGCAGCATTATCATAAATTTTTTTTTAAATGAAATGCATTGCAGATGTTCTTTTATAATCAAAATTCTGCCTTAAAAGTGGAAGAGTGGAATAGACAACAACTAGGAATTAAACACGAGGCAGTAAAAAACATTAAATTTATGAGACAGTTTTATTTCAGGATAATCTGATCCAATATTGTCTGCCCTATTTACCCTCACAGAGAAAATACCACAAATGCCAAGTGTCTAACTCATAAGCAGTTTAATTGTTCCTTATAAATCCTAATAATGACCCTCTTCTCTGCTATTAGCGAGCTCCTCGCTGCCAATTAGCTCCACTTCTCAGAGGATTGAAAAGGCCTCAGCTGTCAACAYGATGGCACCCACAGCGTAACATAAAATAAAAACGCAGCTCAGGAATCCAACGCCACCCTGGCAGTGTCCGTGCTCGCACACGTCCACATGTTGTCACTTGTTAAAAACAATGATGGAGAAGTTTGGAATGTCGGCTGGCTTTTTTTTTTTTTTTAAACCAGAGATGCGGTTGTCAAATCATGCCAGGATTATGGCATCTGTTTGGACCATTTGAGGCCACAAGATTAAACACTTGAGATGCTACCTTATGGGGTGGTCTGATTTCTGATGTGGTTAACCTGAAACACAATACCCTCTGTGCTTCACTCCAAAAAGTCTCATGCCACCTGTTGGTGTGCCATGAAAAGCCCTCTGGGTGCTTTGATTGTCAGCAGTTTTCCACTCTTTCATTCCCTGTTTACACTCTCTTGTATCTGTTTTGTCTTTTTTTTTTTTACCCTTTCTTCTCTCTCGGCTCTTTCTGTTCTCTCTCTGCTGGGTGCGTGTCTGCATCAGGGCTTCTATGGGGGCAGCACTGGCACAACAACAAAGCTCCAGGACRYACACACACACACACACACACACACAGCCTTGAWACACACTGAATTCAATTAACTGTAAACTCAAAGCACTTCCACACACACACAGACACAGACACACAATCCCATGCTGACAGATCTCACACTAGCCTCCTCCCAGACTGTCTGAGCTGCTCTTTTACACGGTGAGCGTATGACAGCSTTCCCTCCAGGTCTCATCACGGCGTCGCTCTACATCAACCCCACCGCTCAGGAAGCACAAAGAGAAGATGATAAGCTTTCAATTAGGCCGGGCTCAGGGGAATTTTCCAGCTGTCTTCACACACTCTTTGAGACTCAACATGTGGGGAGCAGAGGAACGCTCTCGCTTGTTTTTTTTTTTTTTAGTTTTTTGTCTTGGATGTTAAAAAAGTTCTGTCATCTCATTGTTCCTCCCCGGGAAAGACAGAAATGTTGACCTACATGAGGTTGCTTTCCTGGATGTTATTGCTCATTAAATGTTTGAACTGGTTGGATGACAAGTCAAAAGTGCTCCWTGTTTTTAAAAATACTTCAATCAAAGAAAAGGCCGAGCATTAGTTGAAGGAATGCTTGTCGCTCGCTTGATCAAACTTTAAAAAGGGGACATATGCAAAATACATTTTTTTGCTGTTAAATGCATTTGTTGTGCACTTGGAGTCTCTAGAAGTGCAAACAATGTAAATTTTGTCTCAGTGCTGCATATTTTTATATTCTGCTTGGGTCRTATTTTTCAACAGGTTCAGTTTTCTCAGTTTTCTATGTCTCTATCTTAAAGAGACAGTGTCAAAATGAGTTGATCTGAGACACACCTCATAAAAGATTGAAATAAGGGCTTGTGGAGTTACAATAAGGAGGACTTCAGACCAAAGTATTRCAGTTRTACTTTATRTAAGCCSCRTCTAAGTGATTTAAATGTGAAAAAGAAGGATTTAAAAGAATTAAATGTCACCTTTAAAAGGGACATTACATCCAACTTGAACTTGAAAGAGAAAGAAAGAGCAGAAAATCTCTCTGCAAGGACAGATTTGGGGAGCAAAACAAAAAAAAGAAAATGGAGGAGTGTTCTGGAAAGAGCAGAGTCATTAAAACCCTCATTTCTCATGAACACATGGTCTCGTGTCACTGTTGTGGTACCTGAACGAGAAACCCATTAGGGCCCCTTTTCTCCGTCCATTGACCTCTTCTCCCTCGGACCCCGTGAGAAGGAGCAGGCTAGGAACTGTCCGGCAACTGGTCCACGAGCAGAGGTTTATTTTCTAACCAGACCGGTGGTGGGAACGGGGGCTGCCGCCAAAAATCAGCGTTCCCACAGATGGACCAAGAAACACAGGGGCCAGGGGCTACGAAACCACGAGAGCTGTGATGCAACCGTTTTCACACAAAACCACCAGTGATGCTTCGGATGGAGAGATGGAGGAAAAGAGAGGGCTCTCCCAGTTTAGAGGGACCCCAGTGACGGTTTCTCATCCATGCTGGGTCTACATGAGACCGCTGAGTGTCGATGCACCAGCTCTTAGTTCCCACTGTGGTACACCTCTCCTCTCCAAGCTGATTGTTTGGTGATAAGCTCATATCACAGTCCTCAACAGACCGTATTGTTATTTACAACCAAAAACCTTCACCTTTCACCCAATGCACGGATGCAACCACGCCATTCGAAGGAATGAAGGCGTGAAGGMAGTCGTTTGTTTTTAGCTCTCTAAATTTCTTTGGAATGCCAAACAACGACGTTATCAGAACAACTGTCAGGTTTAATTACAGGAAATAACCTGGGAACTAAATGGATCTGCTCCAAACATCCTTTTTTTTCTAGAAATTTTCTTGTTTTTAACCTAATAGTGAAACCATCATCTGTTGCAACAGTGCATCCATTTTTACCCAACATGTCCCAGAATGCAAAAAGAAAAGAATTATACTAAATATTCAAGATGTGTGAAAAAACTGGTTCTTAAGCTGTTTGGATTAAATTGATGTACATTTATCCTGAGGAAGAGAAAGTGATATCCTTCTGATCTGATCTAATTCTCAGATCCAGACAGTCTGTTTTGGACTGAAACCAAAAATCCCCCTGCTACTGTAAATAACCGAACAGGTGATCAAGTTCGTGTTTATGTGACGTGTGTGGTTTTAGCTCCAGTTATTTTACACATTAAATAGATCAAAGATACGGTTTCTCCYGCTCTCTTTTTGATGCAGCAGAGTTCAGTACATTTTTATGATGTTTTATTTATTACTTCCAGTTACCAGTTGTTCACTAAAAAGTGTCCTGATTAGACGATACTTCTTTAAAGTGATCTCATGACTGAACTCAGTCATACCAAAAGCATCACWAATTAAAAATTAATATTCTTCAAAGGAACGCATATCACCCACAAACTTTCATGACAATATTTTATACAAAAACCTTGCAATTTAGAATATGTGTTTAAGATGCCTTACTGCCTCAATGTAAACTTTAAAGAATGTTTATCAAAGTTTTAGTTATTTTTATAAGGGTTTTATTAAAATCAGTCAAGTGACTCATCATGATGTATTTTATTAATAGACAGGGAGACGTTCTACCACACAAAATTTTATTTCAACCTCTGTGAAATTCAAAGAACTAAACACTTTTTTGTGTTTGTTGAAGCATCTGCGGCAGCCAACTTTGTCTAGAATGACTTCAAAAGTTAATTGGTTCTCGATGCCCATCCAATTGGTTAYACAAGTTTCCATAAAATCCTTTAACTGATTCATGTGATATTTTGTTAACAGACAAACACACACGGGATATTAYATTATCACCCACTTTTGGCCTCACAGAAACCCAGCAGGCTGTGGTGAGAGGGTATTCTGACTGAAATCACTGCTGCTAACTTTTCATTGAAATGTGCTAATGGCTTCGATTTAAATTCCTCTTATTGCATCAAGACCACAGTTATCTGTGTGTAATCAATCTGCCCTGAGTTTG